TCCACGCCGAGAGCGGCAACGTCGCGGTCGTTTCGACCTACCTCCGACTTGGGCTCCGCAGTCTAGGCGCGAACAGGGACATCCTGGCCTCCATCTCCAAATTCGTGGACGTGCTCACTGGCCCGTGGATGGCCCTCGCCGGCTGGAACTACGAAACGCACTCGTGGGACGACAAACTGCGGCTCGCCGAATGAAACGCACCGCCCTCGCCGACCAAGAGTCCCACGCCACGCGCGACAAGGGCAAGGGCTCTGCGTGCGACCGTGCGATCGTGCACGCGGACTTCGTCGCGCACCTGGACATCAAGGCGGTGCACGACGTGCCCTGGAATACCCACTGCGGCATCCAGATCTTCGCGGGCCGCGCCAAGCCGTGGGCGCACAGAGCTATCGAGGTTTCCATAGCCATGCCCGCCCGAGCCAGACCTAAGAAGTTTGCGGAATCTGGCAGCAAACGGCCCAAGGCTCGAGCGGAGGCGCTGAGAACCGGGAGGGAAAGGTTGCCCGAGCACCTGCGCGACAAGTTCGACGCCCTCCTTTACAACGCTGCGGGCGCGGCTCAGGAAGACCCCGCGCCGTTTATCATGCCAGAGGCCGGCTGGGGCAAGGCTGCCGACGAGGCGGGGAATACCCGAGGTTCGAGGGCAAAAGCGTCGGAGCAAAGGAGGGCAGGGGGCACGCATTCCACGGCCACGAGCAGAAGGCTGCAGCGCAGATAAACTCCGCGTACGCCCAGTGGGTCGCGACCATGGAGATTGCCCTCCTGGAGACACGCCACACGCCCGCCGACGAGGGGGCCAGGCACCGAAGCCAAGCTGAGGGCTACAGAAGCACCGAGCGGGTTATGAAGGCATCGCCTGGGCGAACGCACCTCAAGGATCCCGAGGCTACGCGGTGGCGACACTTGAGCGCGCTCATCTAAAAGCACACAGCATTGGACAATAATGAGAAAGACCCCCATGCACAGCTCCACAGGGCCACCCTCAGTAAGCTCGTCGACTCGGGCAGCCCAGAGGCCCAGAAGAACCACTTCGGCACCGCGGCGGGCCCGAGGGACGTCGGCGAGCGGAAGACCCAGATCTCCACCCTCGAGTTCTGCGACGAGGGCGACCTCCAATACCTCTGCGCCACTGCCGAAACGCGGGCACACGCGGCCATGGCCAGGGCCGCGGGCAGAGCTCGGGAGCGGCACCTCGCGGGCGAAGCTCGCCTGGAAGGACCTCCCTTGGCAAGCTCCACCGCGCCGTCGCGGACCCCAAGACACAGCGCTTGGAGGACAAGATGGGCCGCGCCATTGTCGGCGACCCTCCCCTGGCCATGGCAAAGGCTGCGAACGCGCGGCGCGACGTCAGGAAGTCGGATCGCTACAACGAGGACAAGGTCATCGACGCGTGCGAGAGGCCATCAAGCACGCGAAGAAGGACCCCCCCCTGTCATCGCGCCGCGGCACATCCTGGCTGTCGTCGGCGTCGCTACCCCCAAGAGGTCGAAGGGGGTCGACAACGTCGGCCCCGTCGGCATCCAGAGACCCACCCAACAGGGCATCCAGGGGCTCGCCAACATTAACAACGCGGCGGGGCAGAGCGATCCGCGGCCGCAGCAGCTACGCGCCACAGTCGGAGCGATGGCTCCCAAGCCTGCAGGCGGGGAACGAATCCTGGGCATGCTCCCAACGATCCCCAATACATGGGCCAAGATACGGCCCACCATCACCGGCGAGTGGCCCCAGGAGCTGGCGGAGTTCTCGGGCGCCGCCATCGAGGGTTCCAGCGCGCTCAGGGCCGCGCTGGTCAGGGCCCTCCCCGACGAGACGGCAGAGGCGTTCTGCGTAGCCATCGCCACGATCTTCATGGATTTCGGGAAGTTCTTCGACTCGGTCTCCTACGCGCTCCTCTTCGACGCCGCAATCATCGTCAAGTTCCCACCTATCGTCGTGGCGCTGGAGGTGCAGCTCTACCTGGCCCCCAGGCACCTTCGCATGCACGGTTGGGTGAGCGATATCATCGACCCGCGGCGGCCCATCGTCGCGGGCAGCTGCAACGGTGGCGAGCTGGCGGAGGTCTACCTCGGGCCGGTCCTCCAGAGGGCCCACGACAACTGCACCTACGCGGGCCCGTGGACTTTCGCAGACGACACGGTGGCCAGGACGGAGGGCCAGACGAAGCAGGTCATCAGCGACCTCATTGGTGTGGCGACGGACTTGTTTGTGCACTGGCATGGCGGAAGCTGGCCTCCGAGTGTCTCCCAAGACAACGGTAGTCGCCTCCAGCCAGTCGACCGCCTTCGCGGCCCACGCCGGCTTCAAGAAGAAGGGCCACTCCGTCAAAGTGGCCAACGCGTCCGTCGACGTCGGCAGAGGGTCGTAGCCGAGGCGGTCAAGCGGGCCAAGATGGCGAAGCGCCGCGCGGACGACATCATCACGAAGGTCAGGAAGCACGCCTCCCTCGCTAACATCCCGAAAGGTCTGTGGACGACGGGGTCGAGGCCCCATGGCGCGCACAGCCACCAGATTACGGGCCTGTCCCCGGCGGCCATCCTACAGCAGCGGGGGCGGGCCATCCAGGGTTCCGCTGGGAGAGTCCCAGGCCAGCGTCTCTCCACCGCGCTGCCGGCAGACCTCGGGCAGAAGGGCCCCGCCATCGAGTTGAGGTGTCATTGAATCACGGAGTGGCTCCACTTCTGGTTCAACCACCCAGAACACCACCTGCGGGTCACGCAGCCGTGGAAGCTCCTCTACGGCAAGACGATCCGCCGCGGCAGCAAGACATACAGGAAGTCGAGGGGGCCCATCACCGCCATTCAGGCCATCCTCACAGATGTGGGATGGACGTGCCCTACGCCATACGAATGGTCTCGCCCACCAGGCGAAGGAGAGACCGAAGTACAATGATGCCTCCGCCCACACAGCAGCCAACCAGACTGGGAGGACAAGAAGAACCACGCGGACCCTGCGGAGTTCGCTCATGAATTCTGGCCTCTTCCATCGAGAACGGCCCGTGGAAGGACGAAGCCAAACGCCCACACGGAGAAGGACTGCAGCGTGGAGGCCCAGACGTGCACATCATCAAGCACGAGATCGGGAAGTTCACCAAGCAGGGCCAGCACGACCAGTGGACCTTCAACCTCTGCGCGGTCGCGGAGGCGCAATGGCCCATGGAGTGCCCCGTGGAAACGGGGCGCCAGGCATGCAAGACATGCCCACGCTGCGAGGCCTCCGACGAGACGCTCACGCACAGGGTCTGGCTGTGCCCGTGCAACCGCGACCACGAGAACTACGCCGGTTCTGGCGCCCTCCTTCCCTCAGACACTGCTGGGGCTGAGACTTTTCCCTACTGGCTCCGCGGCCTGCCTGCGCGCGCTGATACGCACCCAGTCTTCTAGTCGCTGGGCGGGGGTGGCGGGCGGAGCTGGGTCGGACGGGACTGAGAGGACTGCGCCAACGGACATGGCACCCTCACCCTTTTCGGCGACGGCTCGGGTGGCAAGTTCTGTGACGACCCCCGTCGCCGTAGGGTGGGGGCCGCTTGCGTAGCCATGAGGTGCCTCTCCGGGGAGTGGGCCCCCTGGGGATGCATTGTGGCGAGCTTTCGGCTTTTTGCGCTCGCTCTGGAAAGGTGGCCTGGCGATACTTGATTAACAACTGATCATATGCCGCTCTACGACGGGTGTAGAACGGACCGCCGCCTGCGCCCCAGCGAAGGCGCAAACGTTGATTTGTGGGCACGCATTGCCAAGGCATTGCGAGCCCGTGGCAGCAGTGAGCTAGAGGTCACCTGGGTGCCCTCACACAGAGAGGGTGCACCTGGCCTGGCGTCTGACCCCGTCCGGTACTTCCATGTGGTAGGCAACGCAGCGGCTGACGCGTGGGCTGGCGTAGCCGCCCAGGTCTGATACGAGGCAGCCCCCGTGGGCCAAGCGCCCCCCCGCCGACCTGCATGACACACGGTGTGCGCTCATCCGCAGGAGGGTGCGCAGGGCGCTTGCAGATGCGCTCGCAGTTTCGCGGAGCGACACTCGCAATGCCAAAGACCCACGTCTCACCAAGCTTCTGCTGACCATGCAGGCCAGCCAGCCTGCCTTCGAGCTCCGAGCTGCCAAGTACATGGGCACACGGTGTGGGCTCGCTACTGCCCTGTGCAAAGTGCGGCAGGCATGCGCGGCGCCATGCCACCCGCCACAAGCCGATGCAGCCAGCGGCCAGTGAGCAAGCGGTGCCAGTACAGGGCGCCGCTACCATTGAGGGCGTGAGCTCCATGCCTCCCATAAGCTACACTACATGCAGAAGTACGGTCTGTACTTCTGCCGTGAATGCGGCAAGAGGCCGCGCAGGACCCACGCCATCTTGCCACTAGGAAAGGGCGAGAGAACCTCGCCAAGATTGACGGCTGACTGTCTACCCGCGCCCACGCTGGGCGCGACGGGCTGACCCAATCCGCGCGGGCGGCCACCCACGGCATGGCCGTGGAGGAGTGCTCTGCCGCCGCCGCGCTTGCCGCTGCGCCTGCCAATGCCTCCCAGCAGGAGGGTTAGAAGGCACTCGGCCTCGCTCTCGTTAAAATACAAACGCGCCCTGTCGCGCGCGGATGTATCCTCATGTCTCCTCGTCCTCCTTCCTCCTTTCTCCTTTCCCCCCTCCAACTGATGGTGCCGGTGGTGGAAAACAGGCCCATCCACTCGGGCGTCCGGCGGCCGATCGGGACGATCCGGGCACTCGCTCGTGGACGCCTCTCGGCGAGGCGCCAACGCCGGAGTGCAACCCGAGACTGCGAAGCTGCAGAGAACCTCACTCCGAATAATCCGGAATTTCTCCCGACGGGTTATTAAGGGCAACGATAGGGCGGGACAGGCATAGGGGGGATGCGCTGACCCCTAATCGCCCATGGATCGTCGACGCGGCCCTGATAGCTGATAGCCCCCGCCCCGCCCCTCGCCTCACTGCGAAAACGTTGGGGAATCTGGCAGTTTTCACTTCGACCCCCGAACCTCGAACCCCCTTGCCAGGTACGCCGAGTTTCTCGACCACCTCGACCGCCTCGGCCTGGCGGGCCAGCGCCCAGGCGAGGACGCGGCCACGCTGCGGCTGCGCGCGGGGTTGTTCCGCGAGCGCAGCGCCCGGGCGGCCGCGCACAACGCGGACGGGCGGGCCCGCTGGCGCGCCGCCGTGAACCAGTTCTCGGACCACACGGAGGCCCACGAGCTCACCACCCACCAGTCCAACCCAAACCCAGCTCGCAGGCCTCAAGTTGCCTTCCAGTCCCAGCGGTGGGGGGTGGCCAGGGAACATCGAGGAAAACACCCATGGAACACGTACAGCGGGCGGCTTGAACAAGGAACCCTTGCTTTTCAAAAGGGGCTCGGCCGTTCCTTCGGCTCGCATGCGTTATGTATTGTCCCTTCATGCGTTATGTATTATTGATCGTTCCTTATGCTTTATTCCTTGTACAAAAGAGGGACTTCGTTCCTCACGTATGGTTCCTTCGGTCAGGCCGATCACTGTACCCCCCCAACCTGAAGTTCGGGTCTTCGGGTTGGGTTAGGGTGGTCCGGTAGGCAGTCACGAGCGACGCGGACGAGTACGGGCCCCAAAGTTCGAAGACCAACATCGGCATAAACACAAATTGTCGGAGGTCCTCGCGGATCTCTTGATTCCCAGGGGAGGAAACGATTCCCATAACGCTACCCTCGCCTCGTTTTCGCCCTTTGGGGGCTCCTGGGAGGCCCTCCTCACCACCGGTGGATTCGCCTCGGAGTCTTGGGCGGGACGCGCCCCGGGAGAGGCCCGGGGAGTGGCGCTATCCGTGCCGTTTAGTTATCCAGATTCGACATTGGACCCTCCGGGCGGCGCCCCCAGCGCTCCAGCGCCGCCCTTGGCGCGCTCCGCGTTCCAGGGGCCTGGCGCCAATCCACGAACCCTGTGCGGACCTCCCGCTCGGCCTTTCAGAGGTTTCGGATGCCTTCCCCGAAGACTTACGTCGGGCCTGTCCCTCTACAGGAGGAATTTGCAAAAATAGTCAATCATAGTCCGGGGACGATTGTTTGACAATTGTTGTATATTTGGGGGTATTATGTTGAGTATGTTTGACTTTTCGCCCAAAATCCGCCTGTGGGGGGACATACCCGACCTAACCGAAGGCTCCGAAAAATTCTCGGAAGGCCCGAGGGTTTCTATGAGAAGCCTCGCCGCCTTCTGAGAAGGCCTTTCCTTCTCACGTTCCCCCCTCGCTCGTCGCCGACTGTTGTTCGGCAGCATATCATGGGAGCCTTTGAATACCCTCGCAGGTCCATCATTAGAGTCGAATAGCGTCTGGTGGTCGATCAGATGACGCCGATTTAGCGTCGATTTGCGTCGATTTGCAAGAGCCACCACATTGGCATGGGAGGCTCCCATGAGTTGGCACCGAACTTTAGCCGTCAGGGGCAACGGTTGAGGTTGAAGGTTTGAGGTTTTCGGACGTCTTCGTCGATTCTCGGCGGCTTTCCAGCGGCTGCACCTTGCCGAGAGCGTTCTGGGGGTTCCCGGATCGTCCAGAGCGGCCGCCAGGGGCCCGCGTTATGACCCGAAGACCACCAGGGGATACAGTGGAGCCCTTTGCCAAGAAGCACCCCGCTTGCCTCCAGGGTGCCCTCGGTTTCTTGGGTTTCGGTAGTTTTGCCATTGGAAGCGCGGCGACCCTTCTCTCTGCCGCCCTAGCGGAGGCTCTCCTGCTCCTCCTCCTCCTCCTCCTCCTCCTCCTCCTCCTCCTCCTTCTCCTCCTCCTCCTCCTCCTCCTTCGTTCTCCTCCTCCTCCTCCTCCTCCTGCTCCTTCTCCTTCTCCTCCTTCCTCCTCCTCCTTCTCCCACTCCCTAGGAGCTCAAACGTCTCGACAGTTACAGGATTTGCATGACCCGCTCTGATTCGAACATGGAGGCGGGGAACCAACAAAGAGAGAGGGCTCCCACTCGACACTTCCTCACGATTCCCCCAGATTCAGGCCTCAGGAGCCCAAAAGTGGCGCTAGTTGCAAGGTTCGGATGACCCGCTCTGGTTCAAGCACGGAAGCAGGGACCCCATGGGCAGGGTGTTTTTGTTCGACACTTCCGGGCGATTCACACACAGAGGAAGTTTCCGCTCGAGAACTCCTCCAGATTCAGGCCTGAAGAGCCCAAGCGTGACGACGGTTACAGGAGTCGGATGACCCGTTGGGATTCAAACATGCAAGCGGGGACCCATGGGGAGGGAGGCCCCGCTCGCGACGTTCTCGCGATTCGCTCACAGGCGAAGCTCCCGCTCGAGTCGTCCTCCAAATTCCGGCCTGAGGAGCCCAAAAGTGACGACGGTTGCAAGGTTCTGATGACCCGCTCGGATTCAAACGTGGAAGCGGGGACTTCAGAAGGGGGCTCCCGCTTGACGCTTCCTGGCGGCTTACACACAGAGGAAGCTCCCGCTCGAGACCTCCTCCAGATTCAGGCCTGAAGAGCCCAAGAGTGACGACGGTTAAAGGAGTCGGATGACCCGACTTGGGTTCAAAATTGCAAGCGTGGACCGCATAGGGGTGATGGTGGTGGTGGTGATGGTGATGATGATGATGATGATGCTGATGATGATGATGCTGACGATGATGATGCTGATGATGATGGTGATTATGATGATAATTGTTGTAGAAGGGCGAGTGTAGAAGGACGAGAGAGGAGAGGGGTGTGAGATTCCTTCGCGGGGTGTGTGCAGAGCAAACAGGAAACCCACTCAGGACGTGGGGAAAAGCACATCAAAGGACACCTGGGCTGTCCTCTGGCGATAACGGGCGTCACCGAGGAGGGGAGCGGTAACGTCACGATTTACGCCGGCGTCGTCTGGGAATCAGCTACCCTCAGCCATCCCTTGACGGCGCCTGCGCGAAGCGTTACGTCTCTCACGGGGAGGAAGGGGGAGTGAGAGGAGGTCGGCCTTGGTAATTCAAGGGAGGGAAGGCCACCTCGACACCTAAAGTCTGCGTTTACTGAGCGGTACTGGGCGTTTACTAAACAGCCTTGTCCCCTTCGTTTTCTTCCACGGGTGCGTTTCCTCAATAGTTTCGCTTGTCGGGGTGCTTACTGTGAGGGTGGTTTTCCTCGTCTCTAATGACGGGCGTTGCCGTGAATCTTTTCAAATGTGGATTCCATATCCATTATCCGCGCCCTCGGGGCCCCGGATGCCGAGGCGCGACCCAGTGGATCTACGCGATCCCATAGATGCAATGCGCGTGGGGCATCCGCGCAGAGTCGTGGCAGATCAGGGGCAGCGCCATGGGGGGGAGAGGCTCAGGGGGAGATGTGCATCGACGCCCCGGGGCAGCACAACGCCAGGAGGGTAGGCTTTCGAGGCTCGGGGCTCGAGGTTTTCTGCGTTTTCGGAGGCCCTCCGCGGCTGTCCAGCCTCGGGGTGCCCTCCGGCGGCTGCGCCCCGCCGAGAGCCTCTCGGGGTGGCGCGGATCGTCCCGAGCGGCCGCTGGAGCGCCGAGTCGTGGCACGAAGACCTCCTCCTCCTCGTCGACGTGGACAGCAAGCACGGGCGACCTTCCCAGGGATACGCCTTGCGCTCTCAGCTCCTCGGCCCTTCCTGAACCCCGTCCGGCGGCGAGCATCTCTCGAAAAGCCAGGTCTTGCGCGCAACTACAAGGAAACATACGTCTTTTTTTGTTTCACTACATAAAAGAGAGCAGGACAAACAACAGCAACAAGAACAACAACAAGAACAACAACACCATAACAACAAACAGCAAACACATAGAAAGAAACGCACAAAATCTGGCCGTGCGCGTCCAAGGGGCTCGCATTATGATGTTCCAGCCTACTTTAGCCTTGATCACCAGAAAGAATTTCGAGCGCCAGAAAAATACCCCGAATCTCCAGGGTTTTCACGTGTCGGGCCCTGAGAGACACTCTTTCGACACTCATTCGATACATCTCCGGGTGCTCGAAATTATTTCTGGGATGTAGTACGATGGGAGCAACGTAGGGCTCGCATCATTCCCGCGCATCCTCACCACCACTCCTGACCAAACGGCAGGGCCGTTCTTTCACCGTTTCCGAAAAAGTGTCCCTTGAAAACGGAAACGGTAAAAAAACGGCGACCGGAAACGGCAACAGAAACGGCTCCAGGATCGGAACCGGAGCGGGAACCCGTAAAAGAACGGCGACGAAACCGGAAAAAAACGGCGTCGGAACCGGCAGAAAAACGGCACACTGGAACCGGTACAAAGACGGCCCTGTCGTTTCCAGGGCCCATTAATGTCCGGGTCTTCCCCCAGTGGGAAGCTTCAGCCACACTCAAAGAGGGGTAGGGGGAGGGGGGAAGGCTTCTCAGAGGCACCCCTGCTTCTTAGAGTGAGCGGGCCGTGTCTGTACATGTGAGGCTGGCGCCTTCTAAGGCGCAGCTCCCCTCCAAGAAGCCTTCTCCCTCTCCCCCTACATTCGGGGCCCTGAAGAAGGAACCCTTTTCGCTGGGGAGGGGCTCGGTGTTCCTTGATTGTTTCACAGCTTGCCTCAGGTGTTCCCTAGGTTTTCGATGGGAAGTCGAAGTTGAACTGATGGGAAAATAGGGGCCTCGTTCCTTATTTAGGGTTCCTTAGGTCAACGCCCTGACTGTACATGTGAGTCTGGCGCCTTCTAAGGCGCAGCTCCCTTCCAAGAAGCCTTCTCCCTCTCCCCCTCCTCCTCCTCCTCCTCCCCCTCCTCCTTCTGCTCCTCCCCCTCCCCCTCCTCATCCTCTCCTCCTCCTCCTCCTCCTCCTCCTCCTCCTCCTCCTCCTCCGAACCCCCCTCTGCGCGCCTCCGAAAAAGCCCGCGTCGCCCACTCCTCGCTGGGAGGGGCCCCACGGCCCGCCCCTTCTCGGCGCCGCTGCGGCTGCGCCGGCGGGCGCCTCCATAGCGCCGACCCGCCGCGCCGGCGACGGCGTTGCGTGACGGCCTGTCCCTCCACGGGGCGTGAAAACGACCACAGCCACCGCTTTTCTTTTGTTGCCGCCGTCCAGCCCGCAGAAACAAAGCAGTGGCTGTGGTCATTTTCGTTGAGCTTGGCACCAGGGAAATGACACCAGCCACTGCTTCTTTTTCGGCCGGCTGGAAGGTGGCGCAAACAAGAAGCAGTGGCTGTGGTCATTTTCCAGTCCCGCATCCCTCCACGGGAGGCATGTTCGCAGATGGTCAAAAAATAGTCGGGGGGGATGGACAGACCTCCTACCCTGACACGTCGATTCAGGAACGGGCCGTTTTCGGTTCGCGAGAGGGCGTCGCGGCCGTCATTTTTGCGGGTCCAGGTCCGTCGGTTTCGGTCCCAGGTCGTTTTCACTAAGGGGAGGTCTACCAAAGGGAGGTTTGTCCACCGCCGAAGTCGGGGACGATGCTTTCATTTTTTTTGTAATGCATTTTGGGGGTATGTTTGGGGTACTCTTCATTTTTCGTCCAAGATCTGCCTGCAGGGGGACACGCCCGTCCTAACGATGGTATCCCCGATGTGAGCTCGATGCTCCTCCCCCCTTGGCTGGTTTCACCCTGGCGCTGCGGCCCGCGGCCGAGGAGGCCAGGCCGCGAGGGTGGATTTGGATGTGTGTGTGTTCCCCCCGCGTCCTGGCAGCGCCCGTGGGTGCGCCCTCGCCTGGGCCCCGGCTGCTGCCACGGTCATTGTTGCTTCGGTCGGCCGCTCCGGCCCGCTCGCCGCGGAAGTCCTCCACGTCCGAGCGCTCTCCCATTGCCCCTCCCCTTGCGCGGCCGCTCTCGCCTTTCTCCCCCCCTCCTGCACGACGGCCAATTCGCCTTTCGGTCGCCTCAGGTCGCCGCTGCCTGGCGCGGTACTCGCCCGCCGCGGACGTAAAAATGCCCCCCCCCCCCGCGCGCGAGAGGCCGAGCTGAGGGCGCGCCTGGGCTACAGGCGCGGCGGCGATCGGCCTGGGCGGTCGCCAGAGGTGAAGAACGTAGCCAGCGGTCGTTGAGAGTGTACGGTTGGTTCGTGTCGTGTCAACCGGCGGCAGCCCCTCCAGCGGCGTTGAATTTTGAACGCCGCGGGCGACCCAGAATCGTTGCGCCCTCTCATTTCAAGCGCCCAGCGGTTGTACCTCTTCCCTCATCTTCAGGGGGGCGAGCGGATTTCCCACCTATTTCCAACGGCTCCCTATCTTCATGTCGGCGGCGAGCGAGGGGGGGAATGAGAAGGAGAAGGCCCTCTCAGAAGGCGGCGGGACTTCTCAAAAGCCCTCGCGCGTTCTGAGAAGTTTTCCATGTCCTCGGGGAAGGCTTAGAACATTTCTCAGAGGGCCAGGGGATCTCCGAGCTTTCTGAGAAGTCCCGCCCCTTCTCATTTCCCCTCGGGCTCGCCGCCGATCATGTTTCGACGCAGTTATTCCGACCGATAGGTACCGATGCCGAGGCCTTTCTCAAGTTGGCGCGATTCTTGGGCCTCCCCCGGCGGCCCTCGCCTCAACGGCCGGATCCGCCTCGAGATCTTGGGCAGATCGCGCCTTGGCTTGGCATGGCTTGGACGTATGCAGTTGTCCCCGGCGAAGGCCACGAGCAAAAGAAGCGCACGAGACTGAAGCATGCACGGGAAATGGACGCACGAGCGATGGCAAGCGAGGTCTGGGGATTACACGGCGGCACGCGAGGAGAATGCAGGCAACCCGCATGGTAAGGATGGGTAACCTTTCCAAGGGTACCCTCGCATCCCTGCCTCCTCTGTCCATCCTTGGCCACTTTCGTTGGCCGCGCCCCGCTCGAACAGCTTCGAAATGAGAATCCAAGGCCCCTGCATCCTTATCCCGCATCCTTACTATACGTGCTGACAGTAGGGTGGTCCGCGCGAAAGTCTTGGGTCGGCGATGGCTCCCCTCCCCACGGCGCACCCAGGAAGCTCCCGCAAGGCCTGGAGTCTGTGCCGCTTGATGCATGTGCCCCCCTGGTGATGGTCTTCCCTTCGTCTCCCGGACGTCACATGCGCAGGTTTTGCCTGGCTGCTCCCACCTTCCCCCTGGTTGTCCGACACTCCAAATCCTTTATCAATCGACCCCCCTCTTCGACGGGGCGCTTTAATGAACCGGACTCCCTAAGCTCCAATCCAAAGAAAGCGCCCTAATAAACCGGACGTCATGTGCGCAGGTTTTGCCTGGCTGCTCCCACCTTCATCCTGGTGTTACGTCGAGCATGCCCCTCTACAGGGGGAATGTTCAAAAATAGAAGAAAAATAGTCAGGGGACGGTATTTCGACTATTTTTCGACTGTGTTGGTGTTCTTTTTAATTATTCTTACATTTTTCGTCCAACATACGCCTGTCGGGGGACACGCCCGACTTAACCCTGGCTGTCCGATAGCGCCCCGCGGACCTGGCTCCAGCCTTCATGCTCCGGCCTCGTGAACATCCATCTCGCTGCTGATGCCCTGCACCTCGTTGTGTTAGTCGGGGGCGACCAAGATGTCAGCTGTTGGCGCTCCGCGCGGATTTCTTGGATCGGCGCTGGGACCCCCCTGGCGGCGCCCCCGGCGCCGCCCCCGGCGCGCTCCGCGCGCTGGGGAGGGGGGTCCGGCGCGGATGCAAGAAATCCTCGCGGACTTCCAAAGTTTCTGTTTACGCGGCTTCTTGTTCCTCTACACGTGGGGGGTGATGACTAGGAGGGGGGGGGTCTCATGGCTAGGGCCATGATACTTCCCCACAACGTGGCGCCTCTTCTTTTTTCAATTCGTCCCTCGGCCCCTCCGGGGGCCGCGCACATGCCGCCGGCCATGAGCTGCGCCCCCCCATCCTGGACGCCCCCCTCTTTTGAACGCCCCCGAGAGTTCTGGGTGCGGCTTCCGCTCCCCGCGCGCCTCCCGCCTTTCCCTTTCCCTTTCGACCTGTGCCGCACTCGCCTGCCGTGTGTCCCCCGCCATGCTCTGACCGCGCCTTGGCTCCAAGTCGCCGCCGACTGGAAAAAAAGCGTGTCTCCCCCTGCGGACTGGGCGAGGACGAGGATAAATCCGTTCCAGAGCGTTCCGGAACGCTCGCAGTCTGAGAAGGCCGCGGCGCCCGAGACATCTTCCAGCGCCGCTGGATCTCAGAGTTGTTCCAGTTATCCTCACCCGATGTCATCCTCGTCTTGGCTTTGTCTGATAGCCTCCTTTTGATCGACCACGTGTAGAGGGGAGTGGGGGGAGGGGGGATGGCTTCTTAGAAGCATCCCTGCTTCCTAGAAGGCGCTGGCCTTGTCTGTAGATGTGGGCAGGCGCCGTCTAAGAAGCAGCCTCTTTCTAAGAATCCTTCCCACTCTCCCCCTACCCCCTTGTGCGCGTTGCCAACGCCAGATCCACGGATGCCTGACCCACGTGGGCGTGCGCCCGACAATGGTCGTTTACGCGTGAGAGTGACACTTTGCCAGTGTGACTGTTGGTGCGGGACCAGCGTGGTTACTCCAGATTTCGTAATATAGGGAGGGGGGTCTCATTTCGGGGGGGGGTCTCTTCCAGGCTATCTTGGAGGGCCTGGGGGGTCTGCGGACGATGTTTTGGAGGGTTCTCCCACTGGGGAGGTCTGGACCCCCTCCCTTTTATTACGAAATCTGGAGTACCCTTGTTCGGCGGCGGGCGAGGGGGCGAAGTGAGAAGGGGAAGGCCTTCTCAGAAGGTTCGGAAGTCCCCTGGCCTTCTGACAAGTTTCCTCAGCCTTTTCAGGAGACACAGGACACCTCTGAGAGGACGCGAGGGCGTCTGAGAAGTCCCGCCACCCTCTGAGGAGGCCTTCTCCTTCTCGTTTCCCCCCCTCCTCGCTCGCCGCCGACTCATGCGCGCCCCCAATTCTGTAGGCCTCCCAGATGGGGTCCGAGTAAATGTGGTCGGGGGATCTCGCCGCATCGCCGATGCATCGGCGATGCGGCTCGATGCGGAGCCCGATTTTCTCCACGCGGACGACTCCGATGGCACCACCGATGTCGCCGATGCATCGCCGATGTATCGGCGATGCGGCGCGGTCCTCCGACCCCATCTACTCCGACCCCATGTAGGAGGCCTCTATCATGAAGTCGGGCCCGTCCCTCTCCAGAAGGAATATTCAAAAATAGTACAACCATAGCCTTGGGACGATTGTTTGACCTGTTTTGAGCAGTTGGGAGGTATTGTTTGGGTATGTTTGATCTTTCGTCCAAAATCCGCCTGCAGGGGGACACGCCCGACCTTAATGTAGGAGGCCTTTTTTTCATTTCCCCCCAGCTCGCTCGCCGCCGACTCGTGCGCGCTGCCAATTCAATAGATCCCCTCCCAGCGTTCGGTCGGCCACGCCCCTCGACAGGAGGAATAGTCAAACATGGTCCAAGAACATAGTCGGGGGACGACTTTTGGAGCACTTCTTGGCTAGTTTCGAGTATGTTTGGATGATGGGCTTGTTTTCCACCACCACCACCACCATAAGTTGGAGGGGGAGGGGGTCCTCCTTCTCCTCTTCCTCCTCCTCGTCCTCCTCCTCCTCCTCATCCTCCTCCTCCTCCTCTCCTCCTCCTCCTCCTCCTCCTCCTCCTCCTCCTCTTCCTCCTCCTCCTCCTCCTCCTCCTCCTCCTCCTCCTCCTCCTCCTTCCCCCCCTCCAACTTGTGGTGGTGGTGGTGGAACACAGGCCCCTCATTGGACATGTTTGCGATCCCTCCTCCCAAACTCCGCCTGCAGCGGGGGCCACGCCCCGACGTCCTCCCCGCACAGGTCGGCCTCCCTGCGCACGGTGCGCCGGCGCGCCCATCGGGGGGCGGCCGGAGCGCCCCTGCCGGACGCGGTGAGCTGGACGGGGCGCCTCGCGTCCGCGAACTTCACGAGGGACCAGGCTCGGGCCGGGGAAGCGTAACCCGTCGGTCGATGAAGGTAGGGAAGTCTGGATCCTCATTCGGACGCCCGAAATGGGCACGGAGACACTGGGTACGATGCCCAACAACAAATGTTGTCCCAAACCAACAGCGGCCGCTGTTGGGCAGGCGGCCTTCTGCCTCAAATGGACACAGGCCGCGGCCACACCGACAGCGAGTCCTCTTCAGAATGAACAGGAACTGCTGTTGGGCATTGTACCCATTCTTTCCGTACCCATTTCGGGCGTCCAAATCTCAGATCCCAATCTATTTCAAGCGCCTTCCTGCTTCAAGAATCGGCATGCTTCTGCTGTGTGTTCTGTTGTTCCCTGGGGGGGCCTGGACCCACTCAACTTAATCCGCCTTCCTACTTCATGTTTCTACCTACTTCTTCCGACCGGCGTATAGGTTTACAGTCAGACTTGATTGGAGAAAGCACGCGAGAGGACACAAGACCCTTCCGAGGGCCACGTTGCCACAGGAATGCAGGAGGCATGGGTCGCAAGACGCAGGACATGAGGGTACCCTTGATCTGGCAGGGTCGACCTACTAATCCGGGCCGCCTGTAAGCAGGGCCTGTCCCTCTACAGGAGGAATGTTGAAAAATAGTCAACAACTAGTCGACCCATTGGCGTCGACGAGGGCCCACTGGCGTCGACGACGCTCTCGGGGGACCGTCAACACGATGTGCCCCGGCAGGGGGGCCAGGAACGCAGCTCGCCCAGCTGCGGCCTCTCGTGGGACTCGAAGAACACACATCTGCACATAGACGAAGTTTTAGGGGTCCGCGCGGGCTTCTTCTGAAGTCGGGCCCGTCCCTCTACAGGGGGAAGGTCCAAAAGTAGTCAAAACATAGTCGGGGATTATTGTGTGAGCATTTTTGAGCATCTTTGGGATCGTTAACTATTTTCCATTTGTCGTCCACAATCCGCCTGGAGGGGGACACGCCCGACCTCAGGTTATGATGTTCCAGCCTACCTTAGCCTGGATCACCAGAAACCATTTCGAGACCCAAGGAAGTACCGAAAAGTCTTACGGTTTTCACACGTCGGGCCCCGGGAGGCGACACTCGTTCGATACTGTTTCGGCATTTTTCTGTGTGCTCGAAATTATTTCTGGGATGTGGTCCCCAAGTACGACGGGAGCAACATAGTGTCCGGGTCGTGGAAGCGCAGGTTCGGCCGCAAAGCAGGGGAGCCACGTGTACCCTCTAATTAACTACGTCCGTAGAGTGCACTAGCGTCGACTAGCGTCTGGCAACCGGTAATTTGGCGCCAGCTTAGCGTCGATGAGCGCCGATGTATCATCGACTAGCGTCGATTAGCGTCGGTTCGCAAGAGCCAACAAGATGGTTTGTGAGGCTCCCATGAGTTGCCACCGAACGTAAGACTCGAGTGCGCCAGAACTCGTGTTTGCCGCCGCTTTGACGAGCGCGTCCTGGATTTTGACGGTCCAGCGTTCGTGGGATATCTAGCTCGCGTCAACTTTCAGATTGGGTCGCGACATTTTCATGATGGCCCCGTCGGGCCAGCCTTGGTCCCCCGAACCCGGGTCTTCTGTCTCCCCGATCGGGGGGACCAGAATTCAGAGGAGGAAAAGGTACCCATACCGCTTCCCTTCTTCGGTTTCCCTTGTTGGGGCCCCCTGGGAGGCCCTTGTCGTCACCACTGGGTTTGCCTCGAAATTCTGGTCAGAACGCACCCCAGGAGAGGTCCAAGGAGTAGCGGCATCGGTACCCCTTGTTTCCCCCACTAGTGGCACAGGTTCCAACAGCGGGTCTTATTCATTCCGAACCGGGTTCGCAGTCGGTGCCGCTGCGGATGCAGTCCATTCACAGGTTGATAGACCTCCTACCCTGACACGTGGATAGCGAATTGGCCGCTTTCGGTTCGCGAGAGGGCGTCGCGGCCGTCACTTTTGCGGGTCCGGGTCCGTCGGTTTCGGCCTGGGGCCGTTTTCAGTAAAGGGTGGTTTATTAAAGGGAGGTCTGTCCACCGCCGATCCGTGTAAGGTGCCTTCAGGTGGCATGCGCCACGGCTCCAGAGCTGCCCACCGCCGATCCACTTGTGACGCAGGGCCGCCTGCCAAACAGCGGCCGCTGTCGGTTTTGGACAGCGTCTGCAGTTGCCCATCGTGCCTCGGCCTTTCCTTGGCCACGTCGGGGCGTCCAGGCAGGCGGGGCCCCGCCCCGATCTCGACGCCTCGATGCTTCGCCACGAAGGAGAGGGGTCTCCTCCGCCCTCCTCCTCCTCCTCCTCCTCCTCCTCCTCCTCCTCCTCCTCCTCCACTTGGGTCCTGAGGTGTTCTCCGATTTCGGGCTCCTGGGACCTTCAGCGGGTCCTGGGGCCGTCCGAGAACGGTTCAGGATGAAGATCTGGTCCTGGGGGGGTAGGCCCCAGGGTCGAGGACCCGCTTCCCTCAGGACCCGCTTCCCTGAGGACCCGCCCTCCTTCCCCGCACGCGCCATCCTCGGCGCGTCTCTCGCCCAGGAGCTCCGCGGGGAACCCTTATAAGGCGGGGCCCCGGCAGCGGCCTCGACGCTTCGCTCGTCGGCCGGGCCACGATCGAGGCGCCGAGCTTTCGAGGGGGGGGGGAAGGCGATAGAGCGAGGCGAGCCCGCAAGCGCCTCGCCCGCGAGGATCGACGGAGGCAGTGCTGCCTCCCGTCCCCGGCGGCAGGCGGCGGAAGCGCAACGCGAGGGCGGGGTTCCGCCGGCGGAAGGCCGGCTGGGACCATGGCATTCTCCTCCTCCCCCTCCTCCTCCTCCTCCTTCTCCTCCTCCTCCTCCTCCTCCTCCTCCTCCTCCTCCTCCTCCTACTCCTACTTCACTCCTCATCCTCCTCGGGTCGGATGGCGGGGTTTGGGGGTGCAGGGTTCTTCAGAGAACCCGCCAAGTGTTAAGACGGGCATGTCCCTCTACAGGGGGAAGATTCCAAGGTAGGCCAAGCATAGTGTGGGGGCGATGTGTCTACTATGTGTTTATTACTTGGGTGCATGTGTTCCAGCTGTCGTCGAGCAATCCGCCTGTAGGGGGCCATGCCCGACCTACGCCAAGTGGGAGAGGGGGCGAAGAGGGTCCCTTGGGGCCCAGGGGGGGCACGGCCGGTGCACGCTTCTCTCCTCCCCCCCGCCGGCCCGGCATGGAAGCCGCTCTGGCATCGAAGTCGAACCAGCCCGGCGGCGTGGAGGGTCTCTCCGAAGGGCTCAGGCGACCCCTCCTCCTCCTCCTCCCTCCTCCCCGTCCTTCTCCTCCCCGTCCTCCTCCTCCTTCTCCTCCTCCTCCTCCTCCTCCTCCCTCCTCCTCCTCGTCCTCCTCCTCCTCCTCCTCCTCCACCTCCCTCCTCCCCCTCCTCCTCCTCCTTCTCCCTCTCCTCCTCCTCCTCCTCCTCCTCCTCCTCCTCCTCCTCCTCCTCCCTCCTCCTCCTCCTCCTCCTCCTCCTCCACCTCCTCCTCCTCCTTTACTCCTCCTCCCTCCTCCACCTCCTCCTCATCCTCATCCTCATCCTCATCCTCCTCCTCGGGTCGCCGACGGCCCCGGGGGAAACCGTGCGCAGCGGCGCCCAGACGCGCCACGCCGCCGCTCGAGCATCGGACCGCATCGGGTCGCTGGGAGCTCGGAACCGCGGAATGGCGTCAGTCAGTGAAGCCCGGCGCTCGAGCAGCACATGGGCAAATCAAGAGGTGCGCGTGCAGGCCTCCCCCCCATCCACACGGCAAGACGATCTCGCCCCTCCCACGGAGCAGCGCCCGAGGGGGGCGCCCCTCGTCCGCGCACTTCACGAGGGGCCAGGCGGGGCCTGTGGCCCCGATGTCGACGCTACGATCGCCAGGGCCGGCCAAGAAGGGGGGCGATGGCTGGGCTTCACTCGGGCATGTGCCTCTACAGGAGAAACATTCCAAAACCGTCTGGGGGCGATGTGCCGACTACTCTTCAATAATTTCTGAATAGTTGTCACATGTGTTTTCCGCTTCCTTCCGAAATCCGCCTGTAGGAGGACACGCCCGACCTACGACTAGGGGGGGATGACGAATGGGGCTCGCGGTGCGCAGTTTTCGGGCGTTCCCGTTGGCTCGTGGACGCTTTCTCGCCTCGGGCTGCTTCCCAACAGTTGCGCCTCGTCCAGGGCCTGGATCGGCCCGAACGGCCGCCAGAGGCCCGAGTTATGGCTTGGTATCCTGGCTGTGGCCATGATCGGAAACTGGAGCATGTACTTACCAGTGGCGGGCTGTTGCTCAATCCCAGGACTTTTGTGAGAGTCGGGGACGACGTCGGGGTGGTGTGGTGTATACTTGTTTCCCCGTTTCCCCCTGGAAGCAACAAAACATGTATATACCAGGATGCCGTATACACCACACTCCGTTTTCTTGTGCGCATCTCAGCGCGGGACCGGAAAAAAGCATCGGTGTAGAAAGTTCGGTTCCTTACATGGGATCACACATTGGTGGTGAACCTGCAGAGGGGAACTGCGGGTCGTGCTGGGCGGCGGCAGCCGTCGGCGCCCTCGAGACGCACGCGGAGCTGGCCCACGGGAGGGCCGCCCCGCTTTCGCACGACATGCTGGTGAGGTGCACGCGGAACCCGCGCAAGTGCGGCGGCACTCCGGGTGTCCCAAGTGGGGCCAGGCCAGACGCAAGGGCTGGACGAAAGGGGGGGATAGGGCAAGGGGGGGGGTACGAAATTTGCTGCATGCAGCTGGTTTCCGCCCCACCGAGAGGCCCATTCCTCGATACATGGCCGCCTCCCGGCGCTGGGAGGCGCCGGGAAAATCAGCTACGTGAGCTGATTCTCAACCCCCCCCCCTTTGCCATCCCCCCCGTTCCCCCAGCCCGAGGCGAGCGACGGAAGACAACGGGATCTACTGCGCCGACATTCGCGCGTACGCTTCCCGCGCAAGGTCGCTCGCGGCGCCGTCGCCTCGCTTCCGACGCGACGTGCCTCGCTGGCGGGCCTGCGTCGGCCGCGGAGTAAGGTCGCTGTGCCAGCTCGCGTGAGGCCCGTTTCTGCTCGCCGCGCTCAGATGTGGTCGGAGGATCGCGCCGCATGGCTCGTGTCGGACGGGCGGGGGGGGGTAAGAAAAGGTGGGGGGGCAATCTTTTGCGCGGAGCTGTTTCGGGCCCCGCCGCCTGGCGCTGCTTCCCTCGCGCCGGGGAAAGCAGCTACAGTCAGGACGCTGAACGAAGGACCGCTTTGGGCTCAGGAGGGGCTCGGGTTTCCGGGCCATTCCCTGTATCTATGTTTCGTGTGCTCCTTCTGGTAGCACGATTCTTGCACGGCAGATGATTCGCTGCCCCCCTTGTTCTCCTTCCCTTGCCGTCCGCCCCAAGTGGCAACGCTTCCATGCCCCGCGCGTTGCCGGGCCGTCGCCAATGCATCGGCGGTGCGACGCGTGCATCCGACTCCGTTGTGTTGCGACGCAGGAAAGCGGGTCTGTCTGCATATACGCGCTCTCGTGTCAAATGCTGCGTGCCGCGTGCCGAGCTGGCGGCCCACGTAAGCCACCGTGCGAGGTCGCTGTGGCATCTCGCGAAGACCCGTCTCTTCTCGTCGTTTCTCTGCTCTGGCCCCATTCGGGATGCCTCCAGGCTCCGGGGGCTGCGATGGTGCCACCGCCGAGCTTGCTTTCGAGTACGCCACGCAGTACGGAGTTGCGGATCGTCATGGGGGCAATATGTACCGATGCTTTCTGCGAGCTTCGAGGGCACAGAAGTGTTCTTCACGTTGTCGGCGTCTGGGGGCTGATTTCGGGTTCGGGGGCCATCGCAAATTGATGGGGGGCGGAAGAGCCGGACGGACCCTGGGAGGGGAATCGGAATTGATTTTGGGTGCGAGCCTGGTCGTGAGTTCGACTGGGAAAGATGTACAAGCCGATACTGCCCCACCTCTTTCGTTTTCGTTTTTGGGGCCTCCTGTGAGGCCCTCGCGGCCGTGGCTGGCTTCGCCTCGAAGTCTTGGTCGGAACGCGCCCCAGGATGGGTCCGGAGTGCAGCGGTGTCGCCATCTTCGAGCTGCCCCAGGACGAGGCCGACCTGGCCACGTGGCAGTCGTGTGATGGTGGCTCGAAGCCCCGCGTGGTGGCACAGGGGTGCAACAGGCTTGCGCCGCACCCGCCGACTCCTTCACTGCAGTGTTCGACAGCAGCTCAGAGCCCCGAATCATCAGGGGTAACTCGGTTCAGGGTTAACTCGGGTTCGTTTTTCGGGAATCCGAACCCGAATTACCCTGGGCCCGAGTTGTCCCGGATAATTCGGGCGTCCAGAGCCCCACATCATCAGGGGTAACTCGGGTCAGGGCTAACTCGGGTTCCTTTTTCAGGAATCCAAGCCCGAGTCACCCCGGACCCGAGTTACCCCGGATAACTCGGGCGCCCAAGCAGCTGTGTGCAATGGATTATCCTGTCCAGCCTCCCTTTCGTTCGTCCTCCTTCCCCCATGCCTTCCGCTCTTTCCGAGCCTCCCTCCTGTCCCTTGTCTCCTCTTTTCTTTACCCCCATTCCCTCCCTCCCCCTGCCGCTGGCCGCTGACTGTTGCTGCTTGCCGCTGACTGTCATTGCTTGCTGCTGGTGCTTGCTGCTGCGGTTGGCTGTGCAGTCGGCTCTGGTGGTGGTAGTTTCGCCACTGCTGGTGCGGTTATTGCTGCTTGGGGATGGTAATGGGGGCGCCAATTTGGGAGACCGTTGGGATGGTCTTGGGACGGGCGCCCGGGGGGAGCTTTCGAGGCTTCTTGGTTCCAGGGACTCCAGTGACCTGGTGGCGTTGGAGCCGATTCGGGACCTCTTGGGCCGACTGGGAATTCTAGGGTTTTTTGGAAGCCCTCCTGGGGCCCTCTTTATGTCATCCAGGGCCGTCTTCTCAGGCTATTCGGGGGCCGTCTTGGGGCTATTCGCTATTTGGGAGCCGTCTTGGGCGCGGCCTTGAGGCCTCTCGGGCCCCTCTTGTGTCGTCGTGAGCCCGTCCAAGCAGATTCGGAGCTCACCTGCATGCACTCCCCAGCCACTCCTCGGACACCCACCCACTCCGTCGGTAGCAAACCATGGGAGTCTTGCGTACCCTCGTAAGTATGTCTTTAGCGTCGATTAGCTTCGATTCGCGTCTGGGAGTCGATGAGGTATCGCCGATTTAGCGTCGGGTAGCGTCGATCAGCGTCGACTTAGCGTCGATTAGCGTCGGCTTAGCGTCGATCTGCATCGATTCGCAAGAGCCCACAAGACGGTATGGGAGGCTCCCATGACTTGCCACCGAACGCTTCATCCCCTTCCACATCGCGACATCGCGAACCCGGCTCTCCCCGGAGAAGGCTTGGAGGAGGGTTGGGGGCATTCCCCACGCTGGTGCGCCAAGGGGTCGGAGGATACGTCCAGCTTCCAATGAATGAGGCTCGTCCGCTGAGACATGCGCTTTCGACAGAGGGGCCAGTGGTTGTCTCGGTGGAGGCCAACGATTGGTTCATGTACGGCGGGGGCATTTTCGATAAGTGCCAGATCGATGCGGAGGTGGACCACGCCGTCCTCCTGGTGGGATACGGCCATGAAGCTGGTAGCCTATACTGGCAGATCCGAAACTCGTGGGGCTACAGGTCCGCGGAAGGCATTCATACACCACCAACGCTGGCCAAGGCCATCCTGGGCCCTAAAGTGCGAAGATCCACATCAGCATGAACATAAACTGTCGAAGTTTCGCGCGGATCTCTTGATTCGGCGCTGGACCTTCTTGGCGGCGCCTCCAGCGCCGCCACTTGCGCGCTCCGCGTTCCAGGGGTCTGGCGCCGATCCACGAAATCCGCGCGGACCTCCCACTCAGTGGCGAGCCAGGGGGGGGGGAAAGCGACAGCCTTCTCAGTAGGCTCGGAAGGCCTTGGGCCGTTTGCGACGTTGTGTAAGTCCTGCTCGGTGACGCAGACAACTTCTCACAATGCGCGAGGGTGTCTGAGCTTAGTTGCCTCGATAGGCCCGTTTTGAAACGCAACACGTCCCGTGTTCAAGACGGCTTTGTCGATACGTTGCGTGTTGGCTCCACGTATTGGACAACGTGTTGGCGAACGTGCCGCGTCGAATCTACGTTTTCAGCCTACGTGTTGAGGTCTGTATCAATACGATAGTGTCCGAGAAGCCCCGCCGCCTTCTGAGGAGGCCCACTCCCCCTCACCTCCCCCCCCGGGGCTCGCGGCCGACCAACAGTTCATGTTCTTGCTGAGCTCTCTTCTCGTTTTGGGATGGTGCGAACACGGTGGGTTGAAGTCGGGCCTGTCCCTCTACAGGAGGAACATGCAAACGTAGTAACAACACATCGTTTGGGGGCTTGTTTTCAGTATTCTGTGACTATTTGGGATATGTTTTGACGACTCCGAACTTCTCGACCAAAGTCCGCCTGTAGCGGGGACATGCCCGACCTGACAGGAGGTTCGTGGCGTGTCGGCGCGGCGGCGAACGCCGCCGGTGGCCCAGAATCTACCGATATGCGAGGGTTTTGCGACAAGCGAAGCCGCCGATCGCTGGAGGTTGCACGGTCCACTCGGCGTCAGAACAACGACGCCGGGGTCGTCACGCCACGAAGCTGGCGCACAGGCCCTCCTGACCTCGGCCAGGAGGCCATCGCCCAGGGTGGCCTTGTCGGGGCACGGCGGCAGGGCTCGGGCTGGAGCGCGGCTCGGTGTTTCCGTGAGTGCTGAGTCCTTGGCATCGCTCGGTGTTGTGCATGGTTTTCCTCGGTCGGGGCCATCGAGCAGCATCTCGGATCGCTGTGCGGAAACATGCACGCACGAAGCCGAAGCATGCACGAGGGGCGGACGTCCGAGCGATGGCAAGGGACGTGGCTTGGCGTGTTCGCCACTGCTGATTCCGTTCTGCAGCAAGAGCGGGGCGAGGGCAGAGCCAGGGGCAACGAGAGCACACCGGGGATGGGCAGCGCAACAACGGGACAGCGAAAGCAAGACTGGACAGGGCCAGGAAGGGGCAGCGAGCACGAACACAGACTGCGGGCCGGCCGAGCGACGACGACGAGGCGCGAGCACGAAAACGGAGAGCGCCGCTCCGACCGAGCCCTGCGCGTCGGTGGCGCGTGGGTGCCGCCCGCGCCGCAGCTGGGGCGAGCGCGGCCACCTCCGCCTGCTGCGCCTCGGGGACGAGGGCGACGACGCGCACTGCGGCACCGACCGCAGCCCGCAGCTCGGCGCGTGGTGCGAGGGCGGCCCCGGCGAGGCGCGGAGAGCTCGCGCCTGGGGGGAGGAGGAGGAGGAGGAGGAGGAGGAGGAGGAGGAGGAGGAGGAGGAGGAGGAGGAGGAGGAAGGAGGAGGGAGGCGGGGGAGGGGGGAGGAGGAGGAGGAGAGGAGGAGGAGGAGCAGGAGGAGGACGAGCAGGAAGAGGTGGAGGAGGAGGGAGGCCAAGACGGGGGCGATGACCAGGGGGGGCGGATCTCCTGGCGGGGGCCCCGACGTCTCTCCCCAGACGTCCTGGCGCCTCTCCTTGCTTCCAGCGCGTCCCCGGACGTCCTGGCGCCTCGACAGATTTCCCCCCAGATGCCATGGCGCCTCTTCTTAGTGCGAAGGCCTTACGGCCGGTGCCGCCGACCCTGAATGGCGACGACGACGACGACGACGAAGACGACGACGAGCGCTCTTGGGGGCCTCTTGGGGGTAGTTTGTGGGCCTCTTGGGAAGCTCTCAGGGACCGCTTGGAAGCCTCGTGGGGGCCTCTTGGGGCTTCCTGGGGGTCTCTTGGAGGGGGCCTGGGACGTCTTGGAGGCTTCTTGGACGGTCTTGGGGCTATCGTGGGCGTTTTCGGCCGATCTGTGGGCGACTCGGGGCCCTCCTGGGCCGTCTCGGGGGCCATTCTGGGCATTCGGACCTCATTTGGAGTGTTTTCGAGGCGTCGAGGCCGCCCGAGGGAAAACGAATCTGCCCCCCCCCCCCCCCGGGACCCCCCCGGGACCCCCCCCGGGACCCCCCCCCCGGGGAAGGGATCGAAGGGAAGGGGCTTCCCTTCGACTCGATTACGACACTGCTAGATTTTTCTCTCGCTCACGAGCTTGAGAAGGAAGCTGCAGGGAAATGGGGCGACGGAGGCGACGACCGACGGAGACGACGACTCGAACAGCCAAGCCCCTCGCACACGCCGACAGGGTCGGCGGATTTTGCGTCCCCCCGCCCCCCCCCCCCCTCCCTGGGCCGCGCACGAGCCGCCGGCCATGAGTCGCGCCCCCCCTCCTGGACGCCCCCCTCTTGGCCGCCCCTGAATTCGATACCGCCGATTCGACTTTGGATTCCGATCTGGGCAGCCTGCCGATTTCCCCGCCGATCCGATCTCTCCCGACGCGGCTGCCGATTTCCGTCGATCCGATTCGTGTCGATCGCCGATCCAGCCTTTCGATTCCATTATGGGTTCTCCTTGGGGGGGGGAAGCGTTGGACCTCGACGACCTCGGCATCGATTTCGACGACGACCTCCGAGGCGACCCCGACGGCGCCCTTTTCGACGGGGGACGAGCACGGGGGACGAGGGCGAGGGCGAGCGAGGACGAGGCCGAGAGCGAGGGCGAGGGCGACAGGGCCTGAGGAGTGGGAGGGTGGAGGTGCAGGGTGTCTCCGAGGGGCTTAGGCGACCCGTCCTCCTCCTCCTCCTCCTCCTCCTCCTCCTCCCTCCTCCTCCTCCTCCTCCTCCTCCTCCTCCTCCTCCTCCTCCTCCTCTCCTCCTCCTCCCTCCTCCTCCTCCTCCTCCTCCCTCCTCCCTCCTCCCTCCTCCCTCCTCCCTCCTCCCTCCTCCCTCCTCCCTCCCTCCTCCTCCTCCTCGCCCTCCCCTGCTCGGGTCGGGCAGTCTGAGGCGACGGGGCCCGAGGGAGGCTGGAGCCGGCTGGGGGTCTGAGGTGGCCGGCGAAGGGGTGGGGATCTCCAGGGACACCGTGTGGTCCAGGTGGCCGGCGAGCGAGGCGGCAGTGGCGGGGGAGAGGCGCTGGCCGGCGGCGAGCCCAGGGGGAATGCCTATGGGGCGGGCCTTCTCCCGGAACGTGCTCTCGCGTCGCGTGGAAGACAGGCAGGGCTCTTCTTCCTCCTGCTCGGCCTCGGGGGGTCCCTCGCTGGGCCCCAGGACCGTCACACGACGACTCAGGACGAGACACCGTTCCCGGGGAAGGTGCTGGGACTTCCAGGGACACCGTACGGAACATTTCAAGACATCGCATGTCTGGGCCAGAAGGCTCGGATGGCCCCGGGCCTTCGGAGAAGCTTCCTTAGCCCTCCCAGAGACAGAGGCTGCTCCTCAGAAGGCCGGAGGGCCTGTGAGAAGCCCCCCGCCGCCTTCTGAGAAGGCTTCCCCCCTGTCATTCCCCCCCGGGCGCGCCGCCGAGTTGGAGCCGGCTGGAGGTCTGAGGTGGCCCATGAAGTGGTTCCGGCGAGCAGGGAGGGGCGGGCGGGTTAGAGGTGCTGGGCTCGAGAAGGCGTTTTATTTGTTTTTCGGTCGCGTAGCAGGAGGGAAACTAACACACATACACTATTGATCGTCGATTCCCAGAACATGTGGAAACATATGGAAAGTGGGGGGGAAGACGAAAACCCAGAACATATGGGAAGACAGGGGGAATCCTGTTGTTTGTGTCTATTTATTTGTCTGTCCCAGGGCCCCTTCATGGTGGCCCTTCTCGGGCCCCGGGGCCGTCAGGAGCGAATCCGGGGCGAAGCACTGCATCAGATGATTAGACCCTGGGAGGGGTCCAGGGACCGATTTCCAGCGGGTTTGCCCTTTTATCCCCCGCCTTGACCGACCGTTCTCGGGGCCCATGCAGTTCAGACCCCCCCTGGCCGCCTCCCAGGGAAGCGAGAGAGGGTGCGAGTCCTCTCGGAGGGCTGCAGGGCTTCTCAGAAGCGCTCTCGGGCCCCCTGAGGAATCCTTTCCTCCAGCTTCGGAGGAGGCCTGGAAAGCTAATCGGGAGGCTGGAGGCCCTCTGAGCCTGCTGAGAAGGCCTGCCCCCTCTGAGGAATCCTTTCCTCCAGCTTCGGAGGAGGCCTGGAAAGCTAATCGGGAGGCTGGAGGCCCTCTGAGCCTGCTGGGAAGGCCTGCCCCTCTGCCTGTTCAGGGTGCAGGGGGGACACGCTCAGGGGGGGGATGCATCGACCCTTCATCGCCCAATGATCACCGATACGGGCCCGATGCCCCCACGCTGCCTGGGAGCATGTGCATTCGCTATCGGGGGCGCATCGCCGATTTATTGGCGATGTACCGCCGATTCCAGCTCGATGCTCCCCCCTTGAGCTGGTCCCCCCATGACGTTGCCCCTCGGGCCTCCCGGGGAGATTTGGAGGCTTGTCGGGGTCCTCGGGCGACCTTGACTGCGGCCCTCGGAAACATGCTCCAAGCCGCTCGGGGGCCAGGCGGCAGTTCGGAATCGATGGACAAGGCAACGCCCCAGGTCGCCGCAGGATTCTGGGCGTCTCGGGAGACGCTGCCCCTCGTTCGCGGGCGGCTCGTGTGCACCGCAGGGTGCGCTCAGACCCTGACGTCCGCCGATGCGATGTTCAGACTCGCGACCCCAGAAGTCCCGACGCCATCCCCTGGGCCAGTGTGCTGCCCCAGATCCGTTGTTGATGGCCCCGGGTTTCAGTGACGGCCCCCAGGGCCAGACTTCAAAGAGAACAGCCCGGAGTGGAAACAATCAGACCGTCGGAGATCTGGGGAGGTGCGGGTGTGCGGCACCTGCGGCATCCTGTCGGACTCCGTCTACCCCCGCGGCGTGCGCCTCGTCGACGTTGCGGGGTCGAGCCTCTGAGCCCGCTGGGCGCGGGCCCCGCCCAGCCCGAGCGGCGGGGCTCCCGCTGGTGCTGGGCCAGCGCGCCAGAGCGCGCCATGTATCCGAGGCGGGGATGGCTGCGAGAGGTGTTCCTGGAACCTGGCCTTCGGGGAACACGCCATGACATGAACATGAGCTTTCGGAGGTCCGCGCGGAGCTCTTGGATCGGCGCTCCAACCCCCCTCCCTGGCCTCGCGGAGCGCGCCAGGGGGCTCCAGCGGCGATCCGAGAAGTCCGCGCGGACCTGCGAGAGTTCATGTTCATGTCATTTTGTGGTCCCTGAATGCCGTTGGCGTTGCGAAGATAACGGTCGAAGCGGCGCCGCCAGACCACTTGTTAAACGGTATCCCCAACTTTGGGGGTAGCGTGCCCCGTAGAAGCCCTGACAGGGCGATAGCATGCACGGAAGGATCCCTCGCAGGAGGATCGCCCGACAGGGACAGCGTGCACGGAGGAAGCCTCACTTGGGGTGAAAGCATGTTGTTCGGAGGTCGGTGTTGCACGCTGCTTCTGCGACGCCAACCGTAAACCACCGCCTGGAAGATCGATCTGACGAGATCTCGGCAGTCGGCGGACATCAATATCAGAGAGAGGGGTGCCCGAAAGGGATTATCTCTTCCCCGGGCGTGCGTTGGCAATTCTGGAGGGTTCGCCTCCAGGATGGAAACTGGGGATGGACACTGGGGATGAACACTGGGGATGGACACTGGGGATGGACACTGGGGATGGACACTGGGGATCGGCACTGGGGATGAGCACTGGGGATAGGCACTGGGGATGGACACTGAGATGGACACAGGGAATGGGCACCCTTCTCTCTTATCAGCAGCTGCGGGAGACCAGGTATTCGAGCCCCATGTTGCCAGAGTACTTCCACATTCTCCGCCCTCTGGGGTCCCAGGCCATCGGTTCCCCGCGGCGATGGTCGGACAGATCCTCGCCCCGCAGTGAAGCAAACGGGCCCCAAAGGCAAGCCAGATCTCCGGCGACGTTTTGCTTTCAAACCCGCCAAGTTTCCTCGAGTTCGGTCCGTGGGGCCCGCTAGGGGTCCCTGGTGATTGTCGCGACGGGGAGGCGGTGCGAAGCAGTTGCCCTGGAGAAGGGCTCAGAAACCCTGGGGGCTGCGGATCTTAACAGCCATGTCGGCGGATGTCAGGGAACGGGTCCTACGTTTTCGCGGTGTTGGGGCTCGCGAGGCCCGGGGCCCCGCCGGGAGAGTCAGAGTTGGTCTTGGGGGACGGCTCCAGTCGGAGGAAAGGTCCACACGCCCCTCCGAGCTGGGGACAGGGGATGTCTCGAGCCGGGTAGGAGGGACCGCCGGGCAAGGAGGACTGCCCCTGGCTCCTCGCGCCGGTGGTCGTGCCGCTTTTCCATTCACCAGGAGCCAGGACCCCTCGCGCGGCTTGCAATAGCTGTAAGTCGGGCACGTCCCTCTACAGGAGGAGTGTTCAAAAACAGTTTCAAAAATAGTCAGGGGACGATTTTTGGTTAGTACTTTTCGGCCATGGTTGAGCATGTTTGAGGTCTTTTGTTTTTGTTCGTCCACACTTCGCCTGTAGGAGGACAGGCTATGGTTGAGCATTTTTGGGGTGCTTTGTTTTTGCTCGTCCACAATCCGCCTGTAGGAGGACATGCCCGACCTTAAATCCAGTCCGCACGCTCGCCCCATCAGATATGATAGGGCGACTTCGCGCGGCGATGCTCCGGAGTGGTCCCGACGCGCCTGGACCGCCGCCCCGCGGCTGCGCGACGTTTTCTCGCGGATGCCCCGCGTGGAGCTTCCCCTCCGTGACCGCGTCTCCGCGGGGTCGCGCCCCGGAATCTCGGCCGCGAGGGCGCGGATTTGGATACGTTCGCCGCCGCCCTGCTGGTAGCATCCCGAGGCAACTAGAACGTCCGAAAACTTCGATCGGGGACACGTAAGACTCGAGTAAGCTGGAACTCGGGTGTGCAGACCTTTTGGTTTTCGGGCCAAAGCTCTGCTCTCCGGTGGCAGCTCGGGGTGGTCCCCGAGCACCCCTATGGAGCGCTCTCGGCGAGGCGCAGCTGCCAGAGAGCAGCCCGAGGCAACGAGAACGTCCGAGAGCCTCGATCGGGGGAGCGTAAGACTCGAGCAGGCTGGAGCTTGGGTGTGCCGACTTTTTTTTGTTGACGAGCGCGTCCTGGATCTTGACGGTCCCGTCTTCGTGGGATATCTGCAGCGGGGGATTGCGTCAAATTTCCGATTGGGCCTCGTCATTTTTATGATGGCCCCCGTCAGGCCAAACCGAGTCCCCTTTAACCGAGTCTTACGTCTCCCCAAAACGAGAACGTCCGAAAACCTCGACCCTCGAACCCTCGAACATTTTGCATGCGAAGGCGTCCTCAACACACGCGAACGGCGATGTATAGGCCACGGCGATCTACGCTTCGGAACTGCAGATAGGCGTGGATGGCTCGTGGCCGGCCCGATTTGCAGGAAAGCGTGGTTCGCGGTTTGATTTGAACTATCCGTGTCGTCGTTGGTCGATGCGTTCGCGCGTCTGCAAAGCAGGAACGTGTGGTTCGCGATGTCCTGCAGTTCGTTTTGCGCGAGTTCAGCGCCGCCAAAACTGAAGGGGGGAAAACACAAACACACACACACAGACACAATGAATCGTCGACTCCCAGGAAAAGATTGGAAACTACGGGAAGTGGGGGGGGGACGACGAAAACCCGGAACGTCTTGGAAAACATAGGGAATCCTGTTATTGGTGTGTATTTATGTGTGCTCTTTGGGCCCCTTGGAAAACCAGATTCCCAGCATCGCCGTGAACCGACATCGCCGTCGGCGTGGCCCTGGCACGCCCGCCGCTCGTGGCCCTCTCGAGCCCGAGCAGCGGGGCCACGCTGCCGCGCGGGGCCCGCGCGCGCCCCGCCGGCCAACGAGCCCAGGCCGCTCGTAGCGTCTCCGTCGGGGGAAGGCGAGGACGCGGCCCAGACATGCCGGCGCCGTGCAGCCATTCGGGCGGGCGCTTGTCGGTGTCGTTCTCGGCCTCGTGGGGGCCCTCGCGGGGCCCCAGGCCAGGCAAGACAGGAGGGCTCGGATTGGAAAGCAAACCCTGGGAGGGTATCCAGAGTTCCATGGGCCCCGCGCTGAAAAAGTCAAGGCGTCGCATGTCTGTGGGCACCACCACCACCAGGATAAGGGGCGAGAGCGAGAGGAAGGGGGGGGGGAACACCACCAGGGGGACCCCCATCTGGCTCCTCTCGCTGGTCCCTGTTGGTGGTGGTGGTGTCGCTTCTCCGTTTTCCTATGTTTGCTGTTCGCTGCACGCCAGGGGTCCAGAGCGCACGGCGGATTGCGAGGAGAAAAGACAAATAAGCCAGGTGGATCGTGGGTGTACAAGCGGATGCCAAGGTAGGTTATATTTGGCCCAGCCTGGCTTACAAGTGGGTTGAAGGTGCCCTCAGCGGCCTGAGCGGGTGTAGACATCAGGGTGTCCTCGAGAGCCCTCGTCACCGCGGCCGGGTCGTCCGAGATTTCTCCATCAGGAGGCACCTCCGGGAGAGGTCTGGCGACTGGCGATCTCGACGGCCTTCCGCTTCCCCGGCACTGAGCCGGCAGGCACCGGGGGCCGGCCCGAAGGGGCTCCGGCAGCCGACCCCTGCCGTGACGGCCACGCCTCGCCTCGCTCGAGGACGCAGGGCGCAGACTACACGGCGTCTCGGCGAGTTGAGGGGGCCGTGTTCGTTTTGGCTTCGTGTTGCAGCGCAGGCGGAGCGAAGGCAGAACGAGGGAAACCGAAGAAGAACAATTGCCGACAGCATAATATGTCGTTGGCTTTCCGCGCGGATTTCTTGGATCTGCGTTGGGCCCCTGCGGCGGCGCCGCCCTTGGCGCGCTCCGCGCCCGAGGGAGGGGGGTCCGGCGCAGATCCAAGAGATCCGCGCGGAGCGCCAACATATTGTGTTTAGGGCATGTTTTCTTCTTCGGGGAAATAGATGCCAATCACGATAATGATAATTATCCCAGTGCGACCCTACCTAGGAGTTGGAGCCCCTAGGAAACCAGCATTAGTAGTAACAGTAAAGCTAAGCTAAAGCTAAGCTAAAGCTAAGCTAAAGCTAAAGCTAAGCTAAGGCTAAGCTAACACTAAGCTAAAGCCAAGCTAAAGCTAAGCTGAAGCTAAGGTAAAGCTAAGCTAAAGCTAAGCTAAAGCTAACCTAAAGCTAAACTAAAGCTAAAGCTAAATATACGCTAACGCTAAGCTAAAGCCAAGCTAAAGCTAAGCTAACGCTAAGCTAAAGCTAAGCTGAAGCTAAGCGAAAGCTAAGCTAAAGCTAAGCTAAGGCTAAGCTAAAGCTAAGCTAAAGCTAACCTAAAGCTAAGCTGAAGCTAAGCTAAAGCTAAGCTAAAGCTAAGCTAAAGCCAAGCTAAAGCTAAGCTAAATCTAAGCTAAAGCTAAGCTGAAGCTAAGCAAAAGCTAAGCTAAAGCTAAGCTAGAGCTAAGCTACCACTAAGCTAAAGCTAAGCTAACACTAAGCTGGAGCTAAGCTAAAGCTAAGCTAAAGCTAAGCTAAGGCTAAGCTAACACTAAGCTAAAGCCAAGCTACAGCTAAGCTGAAGCTAAGCTAAAGCTAAGCTAAAGCCCAGCTAAAGCTAAGCTAAAGCTAAGCTAACACTAAGCTAAAGCTAAGCTAAAGCTAAGCTAAAGCTAAAGCTAAAGCTAAAGCTAAGCTAAAGCTAAAGCTAAGGCTAAAGCTCCCAGGGGACTGGGGGAACCGCGGGGCGGGGACTGGGGGAACCGCCCAGGGCGTGTAGCACTGCCCGGCCCCTTTAAGCTAGAGAGTAAGAACCCTTTTAGGCAGAGCCTAGGTAGGGAATGATAACAGTGAAGATAAGAATACTACGACTACTAATACTACCACTACTACTACTACTACTAGTACTACTACTACTTCTACTTCTACTACTACTACTACGACTACGACTACTACTACTACTACTACTACTACTACTACTACTACTACTTACTACTACTACTACTACGACTACTACTACTACTACTACTACTACTACTACTACTACTACTATTACTACTACTACTGACTACTACTACTACTACTACTACTACTACTACTACTTACTACTACTACTACTACCTACTACTACACTACTACTACTACTGCTGCTACTACTTACTACTACTACTACTACTACTACTACTACTACTACTACTACTACTACTACTACTACTACTACTACTACTACTGACTACTACTACTACTACTACTACTACTACTACTACTACTACTACTACTACTACTACTACTACTACTACTACTACTACCCTACCCACTACTACGACTACTACTGCTACTTACTACTACTACTACTACTACTACTACTACTACGACACTACACTACTACTACGACTACTACTACACTACTACTACTACTACTACTACTACTACTACTACTACTACTACTACTACTACTACTGACTACTACTACTACTACTACTACTACTACTACTACTACTACTACTACTACTACTACTACGACTACTACTACTACTACTACTACTA